CATTTAATGTTAAATATGCGAACAAAATCTATATGTGCAGCTGGCTTGAAGGGAACGATACCAACATTTCAAGTTTTATTTAACTTTCTATTACATAATATATCCGGTCTTATATGTTAAAGGAAGTGTGAGGCAAATGTGCAGAAAAAATGATAATTGTTTGATATGATATTTCATCTGGTGACGACAAATTTCGTCTTCGAACAAACATATAAAAAAAAGGTCAAGTTTTTGGTTTAATGCGAATGTTTCAGTTAATGTGTTGTCACTATTGTTTCACCCAACTGTGCGATATTCTAAATGTTGGAATTTCCCTTGTGGTCGACAGTCAAACTCTCTCTTTAAGCGGATTGCGTCTTCTTTAAAATTTCATATGATGATGAACAGGAATAAACGAGAATTGACATGAGCAGTTGTTATATCACACATGAGAGGACTTAATGTGATGCTCACTTTAGGGCATATTCCATGCCCACGCTTGGGTGCTGAAACTATGGCTTGTCTGCTGTCTGCTGTCTGCGTTTGGGCTCTGAGAACATTACACTAAAGTTTGTTCCCTTCTTGAGTGTGAATAATATAATGCAGTGAGCATTTGGTTTGTTAAGAAACTAACGAATTTCGATGCGAAGTAATCGCATCTTTTATTTAGTGCAAAGATCAATTTGGTATTGCATCAGAAGCCTTCACGCGCACACACGCTGGCTGAGTATACGCGACAGAACAATAACTTTTTTCATGGAGAAAACCTATGCTTTTTCCACTAGCAGCGGTTTTTTTTCATAATTTTACAGACAACGGTCCTTTACCTTACCGTACCATACGATCCTTTATGAAATTCGCGAGATGCAGTAACCCACACAACTCTTTGCGTAAATTTTGGGAGAATTTTTTTTCGGAGAATGCAGTGTTCGTACTCGATACTTGGATATCTGGTATAAATGATTTGTAAATAAGAATTGAATGGTTTTTTTTAGACATATACCTGGGTGCTATTACCGGCATGCAGTAAGGTCCCCTTTTTTTTGGTTTTTAGTGAAATTAAAAATTTGTTAAAAAAAGTGATATAAGTTTAAGTTCATGCGACGTATTTATTGTCCTTTCACAATCGACCGCCATTTTTTCAAGTCTTCTGAATAGCCGCCCTCTTGAAGCTATCTACAAAAAGAAGTATTTTTGGAACGGCGTCGTAAGAATGGGAAAAAAAAGAGGATTGGAAAAGTGGTTAGTCAGAGACAATAGTTGGTGCATACAGCACGATTTATAACACATTTCCCTTTAATTTTTGTAATGTTTCCTCGACAGGCTAGTTCGTCATGCTACGAAATTCCCGTTATCATGTACCTTCTTATGTTACGGCTTTTTTTCGTGGCACTTGCATTAGATAGCGTGATCTAGTTGAATTAGGATAGTTCGCAATACACAGCGACGAACGACATGGACGTCTTCGAAGTGGATGCTCGGTCTGGGGTGCTCGTTGCGGTATTCTCCTTCGTGTAAGGAGCAGACTCGTTGTTCGTCATCGTAGATTGCGTTGCCATGTCAATCGAGGATTTTGAATTTTTAAAACAACCATTGCACTCGGTTTTATTTATCTGCTAGTATTGATTTTTTTTTTTATATTTATCCTCACCTATCAACGTTCGAGTCCTGTCGTTTAACATGTCTCATGAGAACGAACTCCGATTATCCAAAGCTCGAATGCATTATAATGTTTTCAATTGCTTAGCAATAGCACGGAGTCGCTGTATTGCGCTGTAATACTGGTGACGCTTGGCTTTGCTAAAACGACTAAATTATTGCGTACACTTGATAACTTGTAGGTATAGACGGACTCATTATATTCTTGTTTATTTTCGCAAAATTTTATTATCTCAATGCATTTTTGAAAATTTAGTGCAGTTCGTGTATATGAATGTGGTAAACCGTCCATGTGTAGTTTGCCAAAATATACGGAATCTCATAAAATATATTTCAAAGGAAATTTTTGTAAATAATTTGTGATTTTTTCTTGGAAAAAATTGTATGGAAAAAGTGTAAAATAATGGAATAATTTACGACATACCTTATATTAATGTTTACATTATATACATATATATATACATAATAATAATAATTAATTATGAAAAGAATTTTATATAACATACATATAGTATAAATATATAAATGTATGCATACAAGCAAAATAACGAAAAGTTTACTAAAACCCATTGCTTCCTGTTATTTAACTTACACTATTCGGGAAAGTTTGTTTAGTTCATGGCAATCAGTTTACGCATCACTACGACTAAAATGATTTAGTTTGTTTAGTGTTTGTCAATGCGTTTGTGGCAGCACTAGTGATCCTCCTACTTATTGTGTTAGGTTTGAATGCGGCTTTAAGCCCGCATCAAAAAAGCAGGCAACAATTGCGAGAGTGAAAAAGCTTCGATGAAGAAGAAAGCGACTACATCTGTCGCTGCTAAAAGATGAAGCAATCATCAAAATGATTACCGCCGACAATAAGTAAATGTTAAGGAAATCAATGAAAATTTATAAACTACATCAGGTTCCGATTAAAATTTTGGTGGTCGATACTATGCTCAAACGGTTTCCTTAGGTTACGAGGTCTAGGTTAAAAAAAAAATCCTGCTCTTACTTTATAATTATTTCATTGTATAATTTTCAGATCACTAAGATATCGTTTAAAGCGAATAAATATATATTCCTAGGCAAAGAATCGATGATGATATCGCAATAATAACCGAAGAACTTCAATGGAGAACTACAAATAAGTAAGTTATAACGCTGGTATGAAGTGTTCGTTAGCAGCCCTGCGCACACAGAGTTGATAAACTTTATGAGCTGCAGGATATGTGCGCAGAGAATTAGCTATGAGAGAAGACAGTGAGTGCTATGGAAGTGACGCGATTTGCGAGAATTTCAGCTTAATGAAATTCAATGGATTTAGATTTACCTAACCAGTGGGTTTCGCTTAAAGATTACATCTGTAAGCTAAAATGGTCGATCGGATGATTTCATCAATACATACTCGTTTGAAAATATGACCATGTTAATTCCAATCTCGTCATACCTCTACAGTCAATCAACATTGCGATTGTTATCACGCCAGTGGATGAATCTTTAAGAAATCTATGCCTCCAATTTGCAACTGTGGACAAAATCTTACACCTTGTGAATGCCGAAACCTTCCAATATTTGAAGTCTCGTTTTTGAGGCCACCAAACCTTACGGACTTCCTGGCTATAAAATATTCGATTTTGTTAAAGCGACTGCACTAACCATCTAACTCACCTTTTAAAGAAAGGAGAGCGAGAAAGAGAGGATCACATCGAAGCAAGTCAGCTGACGAAATCTTTAACCGGCTCGAAACTTTAACTAAGCTCGAAGAGAGGTCTATAGGAGAAGAACATTGCACTTCCTTTCCCTGTCGGATTCGATCACCGTACGAATAACATCGTTCATTGCCCCATCGGGTAATAGTCCGGCAGAAAAGGGTGACTTTAAACGAATTGAGTGAGACGTCTAATTGCTCAAGATGGAACCTCGGTTTTGATTACCAGCAAATAGAAAACCGATCGGTTATAGAGGAAAGCATTCTGCATTTTCCATGATCACTCTTATTGCCTTATAGCCTTCGATAGATTTTTAAGAAGGATAACAGATGCAACTTTATACAAACCGCGCCCGTACAATATATAAGCAATTAATAAAGCAAGCGGGGTTCGTTCTAACAAAGTCGGAATTCTTATGATCCGGCCAGAATGGCCACAACGGCCAGAACGGAGGCATATTTAAGCCATGATATTATTAAATTATCCTCGGTGGGAAACATTTTAATCCTTACAACGTTTAATACATAAATTCATTTGAAGTCCACAGTTATGGGAAAGTATAGTATAAGTAACGGTTATCTGCCGCATAATGCAAGATTTACAAGAGAAATATTTTTGTAAATTTTTTTTGCGTTTCTTCCTAATAAACTCGTAGCCTTTGGCTTGGGTTATAATTTTAGTTGAAAAACTCCATTTGTTATGGGAAAAGCTTTTAGAAAAGTATAAATTTCCTTTCATTTTCATAAAAGTTTAGAAATTTGCGAGAATTACTGGCAATTGATAGAAAAAAAAAAAGAAAGAAAAAAATCCTCATTTCACTTTTGTGTGATATCTACGGAACATTAACCACATAAGCAATTCTTATCTGGAGGAGTGAAAACAATAGCAAAAATGATAATAATGAAAACTATTCAATAAATTTCGCAATGATTTTTTAAGCTGCAAGTAATTTTAAAGAATTGAAAAGAAAAGAGATAAAAAGAGATAGAAAGAGAAAGAAAAGAAAACTTCAAATAAAGGAAACGAAGGAAAAATGTTTAGATCTGCTTTGCGTTTGTTAGCGAAAGCGTTTCTCTATCGGTAAAGTCATAATAGAGGTCAATTCGATTATTGGCTCTGTGTCCGCAACGTTTAATTCAAAATGTTTTTGGATATCAATTTGGCATTTGTCCAATAATCACATTTTATTCAACGCATTAATACACACAACAATAACAAATTTCTACTGGTCGGTTGCCGTTGTCACGCCAAAATCCAACTCAATGATGTACACTGCATAAGAAATACACAAAACATTTTGGGGCAGATTGAATGAAAAAATGAAGAGAAGAAAATCCAAACAAAAAAAAACAAAAAAAAAAAACAAAACTTATTTCAAATACAACGTACTTTACAGTTTTATTTGTTGGTCGTAGCTTGTTGGGTCCCCCCAACACTATTGCTTTAGCATTACTTATTGCGAGACTATGACAAATTGACAAAGACCAACTGTTTAATATGCAACAAATATCTATGCGGCGAATTTCAGATCAATTCTATTTTGTTTCTTATTGCACTCCTCTTAAGTCGAATATATGGAAACGCATTGAAAAATTACATGTGCCAGCCAGTGTCAGTAGATGTGAACTTTTTTTTGTTTTTTCTTTTTTTTTTGTTATTATAACTTACATCACTTTATGCTGTTATGCGGTGCTTGATGGTTGGTTGCTCTTCTCGCAACACTTAAATTTATAGGATTCTGGCTTTCAGCAATGCATAAGGGGTTTCAAGAATTGGAACAATTGAGCAGATTATCATAAACGAAAACGGATCAACAGAAACATTTGCGTTCTTAACCTCTTTGAAAAGAGCTACCTGCATACGTTTCGACTAAAACGTTTTCGGCGTAGCTCTGCCAAACGATTGCCGGGAAAATTCACAAGGGTGAGCCTTATCTTAGGATTACTGCACAAGTTTAATCCAAAGCTTCGCGCAAAGACATATGTTTCGCTTGTAAAGAATATTTCAATAAACTAGGAAATGCTCTATGCTTTAATAATGAAGACTATGCTACGTTCTATGAGTGCTATTCAGGGGAAGCAAATATTGAATTTGTGGCACGAGGAGAGCCTTTCTAGCAAAGAAAAATGCAAAACACATTGCTACAGAGCATTGGGCAAAAATTAATTTTCATTCTTTTTTTTTTTTCATATCGAAAACACAATTGAATCGATAGCAATCTACAAAAGAATCGTGCCCTGCAGACGAAATTAGTTCCTTTTTTCTTTTTCTTAATATAACCAATCAAGCACAGGGTGTATCTTAGTCGAGTGACCGGTTGCTAAGACTGGAGTAAAAACGCTATCGCACTTGAGATTCGAACTCTGTTGGCTACTTATGCGACGACAGCCTTGCAAACTGTATGATCGAGTTTCAGTTGGGATATTCACTGATTTCTGAATTACATAGACTTGCAGCTAAGCAATTCCCCATATGGTGCAGATGGAGAACACAACGCCTTAGGGAAGCTAACTAAATCAATCAAAACTTTGGGAAAAGAAAAACTCGTAGCATTCGTTAGGTTATTCTTAATTTATAAAATCGAAAATTTTTCATTTTTCCATAAGCCATCTCAGGTTTTCAATGTACCTCTTTGACACGCTTTAAAATCTGGGACTGTTCCAGAATAGTATAAATTTTTATTTACATTTACATTTCTTGGCCAGCAACACTGGAGCTACCGACCTCCTACGTACACCTATTTCTACCTTTTTTGTCTTCATTCAATTGCGTATTGATTGGAAATGAATTGGAATTGAAAGTTTCTCGTTAATGATAGATAGCCTTGTTAGTAAATCGGACCTTATTCATTTAGGTCGAATCAAGACACAGGCTTTCGAGACTGGAAGTTATAGTTACATATATGTAAAATTTGCTGTTAACTTTTTCAGGTAAACTCAATTTTTTCTTTATTGCGGGCTCCTAGGTGAGCAGATCGTAACCATTTCTTAACCTTGGGTCCTCTTAACCTGTGAAGGAATGCTTGTGTCCAGTTTCAGCTACGTTTATTCGACAAAGAAAAAGGATTGAAATGATCCGTTTTACCAGAAGTAGATTTATGTCGGCATCTTGACCTAGAGACCAAGACCAGGTATAGAAAAACTGATTCAAAAGTTTCGTCATACAAATGAAACCTTGCAAAAAATTTTTAAATTTTACTCATTGCCGTATAATCACTTTTTTCAATATCTCAAATTAAAGAGGGTCCAAAGTGACGCACTCGTAAGCTCTGGTGTTAATATTAATATTTAATTAAATCTATTTTTATGCTTATTTTGAAAATTTTTTCCGTAATTAATAGAAATTTTCGTTTGCTCTATAATAACCCTAAGATAAGTTTCCCACTTTTATTATATATTGGAAAAAAAGAAAAAAAAAAGAAAAAAAAATTAAGAAGGATAATAAACTGCTTTGAGAATTTAGTAAGCATGAGGTAAGTTAAGTTAAAATGTATGTTATCTCGTCTTCTTAGGTAGCATTAACACAGCCTCTGAAGCGTTAAAGTGAAAAGAATTTATCCGTGTGCAAGTGTTTACATTGATCCCTTGCCCTATTGTGCGAGCATGTAGAAGAGATGAAGAATAGAGAAGCAAAGAAAAACCTTTTCGTAAGTAAATTGATAAAAAAATAAAATAAAATTAATGAAGTAATTAATTTGTAATCCTTGAAACAAAGTTTTTGTTGTTTTTAACGGGCTCCATCCAATAAAACATTTTATGCTTAGACTATGTGAGAAAGATTTTCCTATTATGGCGAGAACATTAGGCAGCTAGCGCATAAGGTATAATAATCTTGCCAGAAATATTCAGCTGATATATATATATATATATAGCAGACAGATTGTAAGGGTTGTGTGTTCATTTTGAAAGGATCAATTACTTACTTGTTCCAATTAGATTAGATTAAGGTTAAGCCACATAGACTTGATTTGATCGAAAATATGAGAAGAATTTTTTATTTTCCTTAAGGTTTACTCTTTAATGTTTATTTCATCTTTTTGGAAAATAATCTTCTTTAAGCATTACACACTTTTAGGTTAGGCCAACTTTAGAGGTCCTGGGCAATCTCCATTTTGTGTTGGCATTAACCCTGGTCTGATGGTATATACTGTCAATCTCAATCTTGGTGCTTGGCGAAATAGGATTGAACAGAAAGCGCAGAGAGGTTTGTCTCAACGATTTCGTTGATATATCGAAAATTCGCTTGAAATTCATTTCTATAGCGAATGTTTTTAGGAGAAAAATCGTCTATGGTGAAATCAATTTTTTGTTTTTTTTTATATCTTCTCTTATGCTAACAAGTCGTTGAGCGAGCTGTATGACAATGTCTTGCCGGCTTGTTCGTACCCTAAGCAGCTGAATACGCTGTTAAGGCATAAAATCATTACGAAGTGTTTTTTCCCATTCACTTTCTCTATCTCTATTTCATGCAAGTCCTCAAAGTGCGCTTTGCTTCTTCGCTTTAGACGACTTTAAGCAATCTGCCAATTGTACCATGCTGCCAGGATTTCCAGTATACACATAGTTAGTTAGCATATAAAATAAAGGACAAGAAATTCGAAAATTCTCGTTGCCTTGTGATCAGATTAAATGCTGTTTTTGGTATGAAGTACATGGCAAGTGGCATTGTTTGTGATATTTCTCAAATATATACACATACGCATATACACATATGTGTGTTTGTATTATGCAATATACATTTATATATTTATTCATAGGATGTACATTCATAATCTTGGCTATAAAATAATCGTGATCCTCCTTATAGGTCTTGTAATGTTTATGTGCAGGATGCAGATCTATTTTCGCTGCCATAATAGAAGAGGGTAAAAATCTTTACAATATAGCTTTATACCATAGTAGCGCCTAATTTCTTGTCTAGCTATTTTAATTCTTTTTCGTTTGTTCAGAGAAATATTTCATCAACGTTTCCGTTCCTTTTTAGATTCCTTAACTAGTCGTTCTTGCCTGTGACAGATGAACAGATGAAATTTAAAATTCGAACACGCTATGGACTTTTCGACGCATTTTGGATATCGAACATACAGCTTGCGCAGCATATAAAGAATCACATTTGAATCCGGTAGCATCAGGTGAGCTAAGTATATAACTTTCTTTAGCTATAGTAAAGCAATTTGATTTGCTTGCAAATACATTCAATGTCATCTACAAATATTTCAACGAACTTTTCTTATACAGTCAAATGAAGTCGTTATGTATTTTTGTATGAGGCATCGCCTTTAGTTTATTTCACGAAATTGTAGGCAAATAAATGTCTTTAATGTGAAAAGGAGAACAAACAATGTCCTTAAAAGCTTAGTAGGCCATAAAGGAATTGTCTAATTTTTATGTTCTTCTTCTTCTTCTTCTTCTTCTTTTATGTTAATTATTCTTAGGCTCTAAAGAAATAACCTTGAAAATGATTTTAGCCGAAATTACGGTTATTAGGAATCCATTTACACTAATTATATGATGAATTGTGGATACACATAAATGAACGAAGCAAGCGAAGAAAGAAAGGTTTATGCAAGCAAATTAATGAAAGAATAATATAATTAATAAAGCAATTAATTTATAACCCATGAGACCCTTTTTTATTTACTCTTTCAAGGACTCCTTCATATACAATAATTTATGCATAAAACAAACATAAAAAATTTATTTATCACATTGAGTATCTTGGACGGTCGTACGCGCAAAATTAATGTGCACATTATATAAAAGGAATCTTCGTTTTGGAGTGGAGCATAGGTTATGAGCAAAAGAGTTGACCATCTTGGTTTTTTTTTTTCAACAGAGTAGAAGATATCGGAGTATAAGTACAGGCAACAACCTAAAATCACTTAAATTAAAATAAAGCAAACACGTTGTAATTGGTCAAGGCCAACCGTTATATGCCTTACTTCACTTCGATTATCAGAATCCTTCATATATTTTCCTAATAAAATATCAACCTTTACCCCCTGCATTCATGTCAAGGCATACTTGTGATGGGAGCCATTTAATCGGACAGACTCCGATAACTTGGAAGGCCGTAGTCAAAATGTAGTAAAATTAATTTTCTTGTCAAAGATATGATTATTCTTCACTTATTTTCTCTCTTGCCGTAAGAAGCTATGCTTTTCTATTGAAAATTTTTATGCGATTCGATTATTTTTGCGACCACTCCCCATAAAAGGTCGAACGCTGAAAAAAGTCATCATTTTTTGATTACACCTCAATAAAGAAAGGGTTAAAATAGTGTCTTGATATGCAAAAAAAAAAAAAATGGGGAAGATTTGAATATGTTGGACCCAGATAAGTGTTCCTGCAAAAGATGAGCCTTCTAATATGGCAACATGGTTCGACCTCCAGTATTTCACAGTGTAAAAATTAGTCCAATGAAAATAAGTTCTCATGATGATGATGATGATGATGATGGAGAATGGCATCAGGCGAAGTGAAGAACGTGAAGAACTTCCGACTACCGACTTCTCACGACTTGAATTCTATTCAGGGAGAGTTTTGATGTAACAAATACCATTTTGTTTTCAAGGTCAGCAATTTCCATCCACGAAAAGCAAGACAGTGAGAGAGAGAAAAAAAGGGAAGAGGAAAATAGGGATGAAAAGACAGAAAGAGGTGGAAAGAGCGAAAGAAGGAGCGAAGAAAACATGGGTGCGTGGGAGAGAAAGGGGGGGGGGGGGAAGAGGAGTCAAAGAACAGTAGAGGGAGACAAAAGGAAATTCTTTTACTTTCTCGATTTGTGTGCAAATCCTTGTACCTTCTCATTAACGGGCAGCGAAGAGGCCTTTCATACATTTCAGGTCATTTTTTTACGAAGCTGGTAACCACCGAAAAAGATTTTGAAATTTGAATTGACAAGAGTTGTAGGGTGCCTTTCAAGTTTAGCAAAATATTCAACACATTTATGAAAGGCAGCTAATGTACGCATCCATGCAGTTAGACGAATATGTCAACCCTAAGGTTATGCAACTGATACTCTTGCTCGTATATTAAAGATTGGACTCAGGAATGAGTATTTTACGTCGCAGCATAATAAAAACTTACCAGTCAAGTTCTTTTCATTTTTTCAAAAGGACCGTTACGTCGTTACGGCGTAATGCGATAAGTGTCAGTCAATGAAAAAATTCTTTCATATCTTCTCCGGAAGTTCAGTGTAAAGAAGATCTGATTGACTAACCGGTATTATAGGTTAGCAATTACCCAAGTGCTGTACAAATTCCATACATTAACATGAGGCAAAGTGTCTTGGTATTCCTTTCAAACCTTTCTCGGCTTGACTGAGAGCAGAGAAACTTTCACGAGAAGGTAATTGTTTCAAACGATCTGAAGACAGGAAAATATTTACATCAACGTTTAGCTGATTGGAAAAGAAGAACATTATATTCAGACTAGATACGTGTACGTCTGTTTATGCTCATTTTCGTGTTTATTAGTTAATGAAAAACGACAACTGTGTGCGAAGAATTATTTTTATTTTTTTAATCGTTACAGAGTCTTGAGATTGTAAGATCGAGTTACATTACATTTTCCTTCCATTATATAAACTTGC